GCCACATAAATGTATAAAGTCAACATGATTCCATGCCCTGGTTTTAGTTTATTGCTTATTTAAAATATTGAGATAAAGCATGTGAAACTCTAAGTGGCATATTTTGAGTGGAAAATAAGAAATCTGAAGGCTTGGATTCAAGAAAGTCTTGTGTCACATTATTTCAAGGTCAAGTTTACAAAAGAGAAAACAGTTTAGAAAACTTCTAGTTTCTGCTTATATTATTTTTAGTATGAGAAAAACAAAGCCAACAGTGGTGAACGCATGGCCTTTCGTTTAGAAGAAGCTTGGGAAGGCCAGTCGAATAGTAATAGATGGTCCCCACTTTACCAGTCCCACCCTATCATCCTTAAATACAAACATCATGTCAGGGATCAACAGGGAGGGCGACAGGAAGGAGAAAGAAGACAACTTTGCAAACTCAAAATGCCTTTTTTCACCTTTCAGCACAAATCGAAGTGATACCATGCAAAATTTGTGGTGATAAATCCTCCGGGATCCACTACGGAGTCATCACTTGTGAAGGCTGCAAGGTAGGGACTTTCACAAAACACTGTTCTGTGCTTGCCCCAGGCACCTGTGTGCCTCACAACGTAAGTGGTGACACCTTAAAGAAAGTCTGCTAAACGATGCTTGTGCCTGCCCCTGACACTCAGAAATTCTGGTTTGGTGATTGATTGATTGATTCTCTGTTCTTTGCCTTTTACCTGTTTTTGTCTTAACTGGTCAGCTGCTCCTTAAAAAAAGGATGTTTTCTTAAAGGTTTAAATTATTCACATTTACAGAGATATAAAAATTGACTCTTGCTGCTTTTGCCATATTGTCTCAAGTAAATCCACAGACTTATTACTATATAACAGAACTAAAGATTAAAATAAAGACTACAAGCTAATGGGCATATATTATGTGTCCATCTGAGAAAGAGGAGTCATGTGATAGCTACAATATACATACAACCATTCTTTATTCTCACATTCTAGAAAAAGAAAAGTGGAAGCATGGAATGTTAGAAATAAACCATATGATCCCAAAGTCAAGTAAAAGTGATCCACAACCTCTTCAATTCTCAATGAAGTCCTGAGATAGAAACAAGATTATGTCACTGAGTGATGTCACTGATCTAGTTAGTAAAGAGCTAGCCAAAACCACAAAGTTTTTCACACTCGGTCCAGTGCTCCCTCCAACTCATTCCTTTTAGTAAATTGTTTCTAAAATACAGAGTTAGAGCAATAGTTAACATAATTTAGTTAACATAAATTTAATCTAAAACAAAAGAAATTTTAAATTTAACAGTAAGTTTTTTTAAATTAATCCTTAGAAGGAAGGAGTGAGAAACTAAACAGAGAGGGGGAATCAACGACTAATTTGAAGGCCCACATGTAACCAGAACAAATAAAATGTAGCTACTGTCTGGGAGGAAATGGTGATGTGGTGGAAAAGTTATTGGGAAGAGCAATTATATTTCTGGCAAGATACAAGTAAAGTGAATCATTCATTCAAGGGTGGTAAACAGAAGAGGTAGAGTACAGTTGTAGATTATGGGATCCATTTTTTTTCTTTCGTTTTGGACAGGGAAGGGAGGTGGAGACAAGGTCTCACTCTGTAGCCCAGGCTGCTCTGAAACTCACTATGTAAAAGTTAGTCAGCAACCATCTTTTTTGTCGTGCTGGCAATTGAACCATGGCCTTGTGTGTGTTAGGCAAGTGTTATACCACTGAGCTACCTCCCCAGCCTCCTAAGGGCCAATCTTAATCTTAAGAGAGTTTTAAAAGGAATGGGATAAAACATACCAAAACTGTCATATTGTGGTATTGTGTGAAACATTGACATTCACGATAGTCTGAAAAAAGTATGATTTCTAGAATTGAAAATGCAAAGAAGAGAAAAATAAATAGCATAAAGTGGGAGCAAGAGGAAACTCAATATACTAATTTGCTTTTGGGAGGATCAGTAATCATCTGTATTTGAACCCCATGAGATGTTCCTTGTATTCTATTCTTCAGAACTACAACTAAGAATGATTAATGCCTCTTTGTTTTATGCTTCACTGGATTGTTATTGTTGCTGTATTACTATACAGAAATGTAATTAGCAATTCTACTCACTAGTTTCCCAGTCAGTAGTTATCACTAGTTCCTTGAGCTTCTAGGCTGTATAAGATTCAATGTCTTATTAAATGATCTAGCGTATTTTTTTAAAAAATTGTATATCATCTACCTTAATGCAATTGTTTTCAATAAAAGAAACAAAGCCAAATTATATGATGGCAATCTTTTTACCCTCCTTGAATAAGTTATTTCTTTCCCGAGGCAGATAAACAAATAGGGTTTTTTTTTTTCATAAACCCTGGTGATTTGGGGGCTGGCAGAATGGCTCAAGTAGCAGAGCACCTGCCTAGCAAGCATAAGGCTCTGAGTTCAAGTCCCAATACGACCAAAAAAAAAAAAACTCAAAAAACAAAAACAACAAGTTATTCAGGAATCCAAACCCTCTTCACTGAAGGCATTTCTACCACTCTGCGGATTGTTCTGTAATTTCAAGAGCTGTAGGCTAGTTTACCTAACATCCACTAAAACTGTTTTTAGATTAATTCCAAAGTGAAAATATTCAATGTATCATTGGATAAGGCTTATTTGGAAAATGTCTGATTTCAAAATATGGACTTTATTTATGTTAAGGAGAAAAACACTTAAAACAATAATTTCTAAAAGATGTAAATACTGAACAAACATATCTAACATGTCAATAGCCAAGTAACAAGTGTTTCAGCTCTTGTCATCTTCTCATCATCCAGGGCTGGGGATGTGGCTCTAGTAGTAGAGCTCACACCTATCAAATGTGAGGCCCTGAGTTCAAACCCAGTGCCATTAATCAATCAATCAATCAGTTAATAAATAAGGAAGGATCCACAATCAGAGAAATTATGCTAATACTCTGAAGACTTCTCTAAGGTTTTACTCAAAATGATTATACCCTATACTATTCTTATTTCACAGAAACCCATCTATTTGTGAATATGATACATTTTCTTCAAATAGAAAACTCAAGAAATCTCCTTCAGAATTAGATGTCCATATCAGCAAATTTTAATCAGCTTCTGTGTTTCTATAACTGTTTTTGAGTCAATATATTCGACCCATTTTAAATAACATCAATTCAGTTCACACACTTAATCAATTCCTTTTTATTCAAAAATGTGAAACAATCTCTTTTTCATGCCAAAAACTGCATTTGCAATAACAAGCAACAGATAAGTAAGAAATGCGTCATAATTGACATTGAACTGGCCTTAAGTTAAGGCTTGTAACTGTGACTTCAGAAAAATCTTTTCTGTCAGCTTTTGCTAATGCTATAGTATCCAAAGATTAAAAACTACTCAGTTCTTTCTTTAAATGTAAGTTTCAAGTTGTCCTTAATCAAGACCAATGCACTGAGATAACGCTCTTTGACAGTTTTAATGGTTTATGAAGCACCTTATATCAACCCCTGGAGCTTCTATATGATCTCTATGTCAAACTGGACAATCAGATGTCTCTCTCTGTCATCACTGGTCCAGTAATAAATGATACGCATGGAAATGTGAAAGTGAAACTATTCCTTGTTGACTGGGTTTGGGCTTACACCACAAAACCAACTGGGACTCTCTTTTTCTTTAAAAGATCCTTAGCCACATGGCTATTTCTAAGCCTCCATCCAGGTCACCAAAATCCTCTTCACAGAGCCATATTGTAATCCAAGACAAAATGAAAATCAGTACTATAAATCCTGTCTTTAAAGCATTGGTAATTTTTTACATTAATGTTGATTTTTAACACACTTTGTTAAAAATATTATTTTCCTAATTACCAGACTTTTTTTGGTGAAACATAAAGTTCATAGCCAAGGAGACTGCCTCACCAGTTTCACTTAGTTCCAGTCCTGCTGAAGAAACAGCCCTCCTGTGGAAACAACAGGTGTTTAAAAGAAGTTAGAGGACCCATACCAGACCTCTCAGAGGCTTTCTACTTCCAAAAGCTAATATTGTGGATTACCTTTTCCTAAGTTTTTCTTCGTACATCTATTTTAGACCATTATTTTGCTCTTGGCACTTTGCACTTTGACTATTTTGTTGTAGGTAATTCAAGAGCAAAGAGTGACTAGGGAAACTGGTTACAAGGGAGAATGAAGGAATAAATGATAACTTTTATATCTCTGGAGAAAATGCTTATTTTCCACAAGAGGGGAAATGAAACTAAAGGAAGGTGACAGATAAAGAATTGAAAAATAAATCTTTATCTTTAGACAAAGGCTGCAGATTTAGAAGGGTAGGGTTTGGTCCCTGGCAGTTTATTTTGTACCAGAAGGACCCAAACATACTTGTATGAAGATCTATATTCAATGACCTAAGGGCAAATCATTTGTTCAGAATTTACTTATTGCTTATTTTTTCTTGAAGAGTTTGTATTCAGTAGTTCCTTTACTCAAAGACATGGTTATAAAGTACATCATTGGTATAAAATAACTTTCCAGATACATCCTGGCCAAATTGATTTTTTTTCCAGCTGGCGAAAAATGTATCTTAGAAACTAGGAAAAGAGTAGCACATACAGAGGACACACTCTTCAAGGCTGGGCTGCTACCAGAACCCTAAAGGGCTCACTAACACAGCACTTGGCTCTGGCCTTGACCCCTATGCCCCTCAAATTTCATCATATTTCATTTAGCAGTGATACACTTCTTTTCCACTCCTTCCACACTGCTGTTGGGGGGAAGAAACTCTGCAAAGAACACCACAGTTCATAAAGGTTTTTAGTAAACATTCATTGAATGAATGAATAAATGAAGATACCATTGCCTCGCCAGATAGCACGTATTTTCTGCCCAGAAACATCTGCAAGCTATCCAAGAAGTATTCAAAGTGTTTTAAAAACTAAACTCAGTTACGGTCACTCCAAAAAAATAAAGCAAGTGTATATGTTAATATTTCCCTTCTTGTAAATGTTTCCCTCCCCTTCTCTTTCTCACTCTAGGGATTCTTTAGGAGGAGCCAACAGAACAATGCCTCCTACTCCTGCCCAAGGCAGAGAAACTGTTTAATTGACAGGACCAACAGAAACCGCTGCCAACACTGCAGACTGCAGAAGTGTCTTGCCCTAGGAATGTCGAGAGATGGTAAGGCACTATCTTTCTAGGTCTCACTTTAGGGTTTTCAAATGGATGTTTTATTACAGGATATTTAAGCCACAGGAAGAATCTTAAATGTGGGAATTGGGGACAAAAATTAAAAAGCAAAAAAACAGTGCTAGTAGTGAATTAAGAAGCAAAGAAAGGACATATAAAATATAGGATTGCCTAAGAACTAAGAAAGAGGAGGTTTTACTATGACTTCTGGAGAAGCTGGTGCTCTTCAGGTTAAGTGAAAGTCACACAGTCTGAAGGTCACCATCTGTCCAGATTTTTTATAAATGAGGGGTCTTCTAAGATGTGTGACTTTCAGAGCTAAAACCAGAAAGTCCCAGGAAAACAGGGGCCATTTGGTCACTGGGAAGGTCTAACTGGTATGCAAGTTTCTTGTGGAGAGCAGAACATGCTTCTATAGGAAGTTCAGAAACTCAGCTGGCTGGTCACATGTCCCCAGAAAAAGATCAGGAATATTCTGAGCTGTGATGAAATGATGAAGAATATGACACACATGTGTGTTCCTCCTTCACACCTAACCAAATGGGGGGGGCTGGCTCCCCAACTAAAATTTTTAGTTTAATGAAAGAAGATGAATAAACTCAAACAAGATGAACAAAAAATTTCACTTAGCTTTTCTTCCATCTTTAGTCATTCACATACAATATTTCTTTCCCTACCGACATTGGTCACAGCTGTCTTGTAGCAGATTATAAGTGGCCTTGAACCCTGGTCCATTTATGTGTTTCCACTGTATCCTGAGGATCTATTTAAAATCAGGCACCTAAATGCTTGTAGACTGAACCATGGAATTCTCTTCCACCTGAAGACAGAGACACAAACAATGCCCTTGGCACTTACTCTATTTTCACATATCGATAGATTCTGGAACCCTGGTCATATTTCTTCTAGTCAAGTCCAAGTTCAGGGTAATAGAGATATAGAAAAAAAGAAAGAAACTTCCAAGTTAAAAAAAATAAGAGATAATTAATATGCACTGTCCCTTAGTTTATAGGTGTTTAATGAGTTATTAGATTACCTTTTCTCTAATTCCCAATCAACCTAAACTTGTCTTGCACAAAAGTACACTTGTAAGACAAACTTGTGGAGCAAGGGGGCAAATCTGGACTTGAGCCCTTCAGTTTATAGGAAGCTTTTAAAACTGCAGAGATTACACTTTCAAAATTTTTCTATCAACTAATTTTTTATTTTATTGGTTTTCCTGATCTCACTACTCACATAAATTTACACCTAGGGTAAAGTTATAGAAGTGTGTACTTCTATAGAACTAAGGCAAACAAAGTGGAGAGACAGGGTTAAATGAATCTCTGAATTTATTTAGTGAAAATCTTTAGCAATTTGAGTTGATTTCGTACTTCATTTCTCCCATGTGGAGGCAGCATGCTGATTGAAAGTATCTGAAAAGGTCCATTGATAGTTGTGAAAAAGATAAGTCATTGGGTATATTTATCTTTGCTATTTCTCCCTGAAATCAAAGGAGTATCCCTTTGGGGAAGGCTGGTCTTGTGGGTTTGTCTGCCAAACAGAATGATGGACAAGAGATGAGCATATGGCCCAGCACAGATTCAGGGATTTAACAACATCATTTCACAAAGTCTAACAGATTTCTGAATTCCATGACATAAAAGAATTGTGTTGGGAGAGTAGAAGGGTCACTTAATGGATAAAGCCACAATCTGTTCTCAAGGAGGAAAAAATTCACTGCAGCACATATACCCCTATGCAAATAAAAACAATATAGTGTCTAAGGAACCTAGAGAGTAAAGGCAATGCCATTTTAAATGAGGTTCAGAGACAACGCTGCGGCTGCCAGGATCATCTTCCAAAATGCATCCTAATCATGTCATGAAAAGAAATGATTGGAGGAGAGGATGGTAAGAGAGGAAGGAACTTGAGAAGACAAAAGTAATTATTCTAAGCAGGAGGAGGAGGAGAAAAAAAGAGGAGGAGGAAGAGGAGAAAAGAAGGAGAAGGAGGAGAAGAGGAGGAAGAACAGGAAGAAGAAGGGCTTCAAGCAGACAAAAATAATTATTCAAGGAGAAAAGCTCAGAAGAAGAAAAGGAAGGAGGAGGAGAAGGATAGGGAGAGGAACAGGAAGGAGAAGACAGAGTTCAAAAATAATTATTCTAAAGGGGAAAAGCTTCTTTACTATGTCATAGAGAGGAAGTTGGTCAAAATCATGACTTTGAAGGGTACCTTACACCAAATAAATATACAAATATCAGGGAAGCTGATTAGGCTTTAGCTGCTACTGATAAATAATGCCTAGTATGTGGAATTAAAGAATCCAAAAGCCCTGAAGTTATAATTTATTAGCTATGTCTAGTCAGGGACCAAGCATAACAGGTAGAGTTTCTCCTGTGACGTTTTACCTATCCTCCCCATCTGCTGACTAAGCAAGTACTTTCAAAATGTGTTAACAGTAGTACTAGAACCCAGGCAATTTGCCCTTGTGCCTAACTTCTTTCCACAACCTACTACCTTTCCTCAAAGATAAAGTGGCATTCAGTTTGCTCTGTGCATTTGCTTTCTGTCCCATATGCCTGGCTCTAGGAATATCTACTTCACCAAAACTACTTGTCCAGGTGTAATGTAGTAGTGACTAGAAATCATTGAAGGAGCAATGAGTTCATTTTTAGTTACTCTAAAAGCTTCCATTCCATTTAGAATCCCACAGCCCCCATAAAAATGAAGTGATTTCTGATATAAAATTGTTCTTTGCCTGTGTGGAATTGAATGAGGGTTAAGAGCATATCATGAGCAAATATCATCATCACTGAATATTTATAAAGCACTTGCAATGTATACAGAATTGTGCTGGTTTCTTTAAAGGGTAGCAGTTTAACAAGAGGCTGCCTCTATATTCAAGTGAATGCTATTAGCAGAATAATTCAAGTTTGAGAGGGGCAAACATCTAAAATTTGTGCCATTCTCATCAATTGGTAGTGATAAGAAGAATGCAAATGTTTGAGAATATAACCCTAATATAATCTTTGTTTAAGTAGGACTATGAATATAATAAACGTATTTATAAATAGTGACGGGATTATTTATACACCTAGGAATTTTGGTAGGTATATTTTCGCCATGCACTGTAATTTTTCCCAAAATATGTCACACTTTTATTTCAGGAAAAGAGACATAAAACCACAACACCAGCTCATCAGTGTTTCTGAAACGAATGGAAAATTCATTCTGGAATACTATTATAGTCACTGTCAATGAAGTCCTTGATTTAGGATGAAGTCTGATAATTCTAAAATGTAGTAGAGCTTTAAGTCGTTTCTAAATATTCCAGTTGCTCAGTGACCTGAGAAGTTAGTTGATCACTTTTAAAAGGCATAGCTCTTCTCTGTTGAGTTTATGGATATTTAGCAGAGCAGAGTTCCTGGCAGCATACTTTTTTTTTTTGACATTGTTAACTTTAATTATGATGACTATGGTTAACAGCACAATTCTGCATGCGTCAGCTACAGGTCAGTTCTGTGGCACTGCTGACCATAGTTGGCCTTGCTTGGATGACTGAGGAGGCTGAACTGGCTTCACAGATCTTACTCTTCAGTGAGCTAGCTCAGGCAGGTTCTCACTATTGTGAGAGGCCCAATCACACAAGCCCTTTCCAAGTCTCTGACTTATATCACACTTATCAATATCCCATTGACCCAGGCAGATTACAGGACTGTGGGTCAAAGGATGGGAAGTGGGCATGCACAGAATGAAAGGGCAGGGCAAACAGATATGGGGAAGAACATGGAAGAACATAGGTGGGAAGAATCCAAGGTATTAATGCAATCCGTCTTCTGTAAAATATATTTCATCTAGATATAGACTATATAGAAATCTAAAGCAAGAATTAAATGGAAAGTGTTTTTAAAAAGAAACATTTTGGACTCTGTGTTGAAAGAGTTTCTCATTTTCAATTTTTAATTCTTATGAATTTTAAACAAATAAATGTCCCTACTCTACTAAAATATGTCAGAAAGTAGATCTACTCCAGCCTAAACAAATATTTAAACCTATAGCAATAAAAACAAGCTTTGTATTCACCTCTATAAGTGCAATAAAGAATGGTTCTGAACATACGTCAATGTCATCAAATAAAGAAACATGTCTTAGAGATAGGAGAGTGTCTTCAGAATCAATATTTGTTGTTGTTTAATTTTTCTAATGCAAAAAAAGTTTTTTCTCCTACAGAATAGCATGTTGTAAATTATTTGGAAAGATTAAAAGTATAGAAAAAGATTTCCCTAAAAGTTATTGTAGAAATCATCCCATAGACAAACTGGATATATCACTGCAATTAGTAATCAAATAAATTTATCTCTGTGAAACTTAATCTTATAAAGACAGTGTCTCTACAAACCAGGTTAAACACAGTGATCTAAATGGTTCAAGACCCAATAAAAGACACAACTGCTAAGGAAAAGAGAGTTTGATGGGAATTAATCTGATTGTCTTCATTCAGAAAAATTACTGGATAATTACCACTTGGTTTTCCTACTCATGCAGTCAAATGTAGGATGATTTCTGAGAACAATTAAGGAAAAAATAGGAAGAGTTTGGGCTTCTCTAAATCCAGCCCTCATATTCACAACCAGCAAGCAAGGAGGAAAATGCATGCCCCTATACCTGCAAGCATATACAACACATCCATTTACTTCCTAGTAATCTTAACTTAATCAGTTAGCCAGTCCTCTCAGTGGGAAAGTGCCTGTGAAGTGTGGTCTCCTTTCTGATTATCCCATGCTCAGATAAAATTTGGTGGCATTGTACCAATGAAAGGAGAAAATGAATTCTGAAGAATTTAGGGAGTAAATGGCAGCACCTTCACAGCATGAATCTTCTCTGTGAGCTCTTGAGCACTTCACCCGTTAGTTATTCTCAGAGGAGTACGAACCCTAGTGACTGAATCCAGGAACAAACCCTTTTTCTACCTTCCACTTCCTTCTTTCTGCATTCTGGGAACTCCCAACAGGTGATGAGAACATTATCACCAAAGAAGACAAAACAAACTCAGAGGAGAGGTTCCAAGTTTGTCCCACTTCCACCATTAACATGAGCTGAGTAGTACAGAATCCCTCAAATTAGGCAGCCCTAAGACTCAGGATGCTCACATGCTAAAGGGAAGTTGGCAGCTCATGAGGTAAAATGTCAGTGTCTGTAACAGTTCCAGAGGTTAAGCTCCCTAAAGTGAGAAACAAGACATCAAAATGCAAGCCTCTTGTATTACTTGGTGACTACTTGCAAAGCCTCGTTCTTATTTTTCTTCAGAAAGACTATGGATTTTTCTGGAAGAGATAAGCAAAGTAAAACTTGGGACTAATAGGATGAGTAGGATAGTTACTGTTAGCTCACTTGCTGGGCATTGCATGCACAAATTGCTGTTTTCTAAAGATTCTTATCTTTTGCTACCAAATCCAGCTGAAGGCAAATGATGTGGTTTACTTAAAATTGTGTTTCTCACTCTGCCATACATTCTTGGTCTACTCAGCATATTATTTACGAATAGGTCTCAAAGTGAAATTATGGGGTCCTTCCCAAGAACCAAGTAATCCAATTGCTTAGTGGAAAAATTTGATAATGATTGTTGGTGAACATTTTAATAGCAGATACAATTTGTTGGTTTTGTAGTGAGTGTTTGTGTATATGTGTGTTTCACAAGTGAAAAAGAATAACCAGTATAACTTGTAACTTCATGGCTATAACAAATGCATGCACTTTTTACATATCATCCTGACATAGTCCCATAATTTGGATCTTAAATGTCTCCCAAAAGCCCATATGTTTAAGGCTTGGTCCTCAGCTTAGTGTTATTGGGAGACTGTGGAACCTTTAGGAGATGGAGTCTAGGGTGAAGTCTTAGGTCATTCGGGGCATGTCCCTCAAGGAGCTAAGGGAACCCAGCCCCTTCATCTCCTCTCTTTTCTTCCTTGACATGAGTGTGTTCCACCACACACTCTCCGTCATGATGTGCTGCCTCACCACAGGCCCAAAAGCAATGGGTCCACTCATCCATATGCTGACCTCTTTAAAACTATGAGTCAAAATAAACCTGATTGGCTCAGGTATTCGTTACAGTGACAGAAAGCTGACTGACACACTCAGGTTTAGTTTTTACCATGACATAAACCAAGACACACACCCTCCATACATAACCTTTCCCCAAATGGAGTGTAAATGAATGGACACTTAAGACATGGTGGTGGGAGTCTATTTCATGCTGATGGCACAGGAACCCTGCCACTTAGACTTGGCATGGTTGATGAGAATGACAACCTCACATGCTGTTCTCTGCTTTTCTCACCAACCCAGCTGTGAAGTTCGGGAGGATGTCCAAGAAGCAGAGGGACAGCCTGTATGCGGAGGTGCAGAAGCACCAACAGCGGCTGCAGGAGCAGAGGCAGCAGCAGAGTGGGGAGGCGGAGGCCCTGGCTAGGGTGTACAGCAACAGCATCAGCAACGGCCTGAGCAACCTGAGCAACGAGACCAGCGGCACTTATGCCAATGGGCATGTCATTGACCTGCCCAAGTCTGAGGGTTATTACAACGTAGATTCTGGTCAGCCATCCCCCGATCAGTCAGGACTGGACATGACTGGAATCAAACAGATAAAGCAAGAACCTATCTATGACCTCACATCTGTACCCAACTTGTTTACCTATAGCTCTTTCAACAATGGGCAGTTAGCACCAGGGATAACAATGACTGAAATAGGTAAGTAGAAGTCTCCTCCAAGTTTCATTTTGCAAGTTGTGCTTTGAAGTTTCCTTAGACTTATTTAGTAGGGTTATTTCCTTAGGCCTAAGCTGAATTGTTTGCATTCTTAGCTTCTACTGCAAAAAAAACAATGATTTAAAAATATATTCTAATAAATGTCATTGTTACTTTGTCCCATAAAAGTTTATTCCAGCAAATGAAGAATGAAGAAATTATAAATAGAAAGATGCTCTCTATAAAGAAAGAACAAATGCTATCCACTGAATTTGGGTTCTCACTAAAGGAAAAATGTTGTTGGTATAAACAGGAAAATTTCAACAAGTATCCAAAGTGATGATATTCAAAGTGAAATAGCAAAGGCAGGTAGAGACAGTGTGGAAGAACCAAAAGAAGAGGGTCCAGCTGTCCCTCTTAGATACCTGGGGATACACCTTAAGCAAATGTTACCTTCGTTTCCCTCTTTGTGTAATTAGGGGGAGACCAGAAGTCTGCTAAGACTCTTGTAGATCTGAATACAAGAACTGCACATAGGATTCTGAATTATAGCAATTAAAAGTATACAATCTGGAGGCCAGGCATAGTGGCTCACACTTGTAATCCTAGTTACTAGGAAGGCAGAGATTGGGAGGATCACAGTTAGAGGCCAGCTTGGACGAAAAGTTCATGAGACCTCATCTCAACCAATAGCTGGCATGAAGGTGCATGCCTGTTATGCCAAGCCATGAAGGAGACCTAAATGGGAGAATAGAGGTCCAAGCCAATCAGAGTATAAACACAAAACCCTATCTGAAAACTACCTAAAGCAAAAAGAGCTGGGGTCATGGCTCAAGTGGTAGAGTGCCTGACTGGCAAGCACAAGGTCCAAACCCCAGTGCAATCAGAGAGACAGAAAGAGAGGAGAGAGACAGAATGATTTGAAATGTTACAGAACACAAGAGTGACGATTAGCTGTCATTAGCTTAGGCTAGTCATAGGCATGACAGCATCAGCCATCTAATCCTTTTTTAGCTAGGATGCCCTACCACTCCTAAGAAGTGATCCTCAGCGATGCCCTCTCCTAAGCAAGCTCTCATCTGACCATTCGCTGCTTTGTTTCACCATGTTAAGCTCAGGAGTTAATCTCTTTAACAACTGCCCTAAAAACATTGATGTCTTTCTAAGACACTACCGTCCTGAATTGTTACTTACTTGCATATACACCACAACCCAGAAGAGCCAGACCAGCAGTGACTGTACCAGCCTCTATCATAGCATTTTGTGAACTGGGGAAAGGAACCTTTGAGGCTCCTCAAGTTCCCCGAGAGGTAACAGAGCAACATGGCTAAGAATCCTGACTCTGTGGCTTATTATCTAAGCCAGAGCAAGTTTCTCAATCTCAGTCTGTTATCTTTTAAAAGGAGAAAGTAGGGCTGGTGGAGAGGCTAAAGCAGTAAGAGCACCTGCCTAGCAAGTATGAGGCCCTGAGTTCAAACCACAGTGCCACCAAAAAGAAAGAATAATAAAAGGAGGAAGTATTAATTCATCATTCACAGGGAGCTGTAAGACTACTAACTCTTAGCTATTATTATTTGCATGTCATGTGCTCAGTTACCCTGCATGGTAGTGCACTTCTGTAATGCCAGCTACACAGAAAGCTCAGGGAAGAGGATTATGGTCTGAGGTCAGCCCCTGCAAAACGGCATGGAAAATAACTAAAGCTAAAAAGGACAGCAGGTGCCAATCAAGCAGTAGTGCACTTGCCCAGCAATCGTGAGCCCATAAATTCAACCCCCAGTACTAAAAAAAAAAAAAAAAAGACTAAAGCCTACAAATGATTTAAATTAATTTTCTGTGGATACATAATGAAATCCACAGCCATACTCGTGGCTACTTGCACCATCTGGCTGAAGAAGAAGCAATGTTACACAGTGTTAAACCTGAAATGTTATTTTCTCCCTTTTAGCAGTTGGGCATGTGACAGTGAATAAAGTTGTTGACAAAGCACCTGTAAATAACTTTCGCAGCTGAAAGACACAGAAAATTAAACATCAAGTATAATTAAAAAATAGTCAATTACCCTTAACCTTGTTTTTACTATATTGCAGGCACTTCACAAACATTGAATTTTCCCAAATACCTTAAAAGATAACTAAAATTTTTATAGACATTTTCCTGTGAAAACAGAGGTTCAGAAGTATCCCATGACTTCTCAGGGGCCCATGATAGAGCCATGGTCCACCCCAGGCAGCAAGATTCCAGAGTCCTTGTGCTCATCCATTAATCTGCTACTTACTAGGCATTAACTAATCACAAATTGCATTGTCAACTAACAGGGACAGTCTTTTAAAGTTGAAACAGCCAATCTTTCCAAGATAGCATGAAAAAAGAAAACAAGAAAAGCACCATTTTTTTTGCATTTGTGCTACTTAATTTCTAAGTTCCTGGGTCTACTCTTTATTGGTTGGGAACATACATTAAAAGTCTTAATGAAATAAAAATTCATAATTTGGGGGCAATCTTCTGCCCCATACCCAAAAAGAAAGTCATCTAAGTGTTCAGAAACCATGGTTTCTTTGAGGGTTAGAATTAGTAAGAACTATTATGGAAAGAGAAACCCAGAACCATGAGGTCTGGCTTACCCTGGACAAATCACCTTTTCTGGCACTTAGTCTATTTTTCTATGAACTGATTAACTGGATTAGATAATCTCAAATTTCATCCAGACTTTCTACATATGCAGTGACACACAAAATGAACTAGCATATATTTTTCTTAATGATTTCAAGGTACCAACAGTCTTTACAAATCTCAAAGTCATTAGACTTTAAGGGTGTAATTAGATTGTCTTGCAAGTGCTCCCAAATTAGTACCTTTAAATACGGGCCTGGTTCAGATTTTGTTAAAACATCAATGCCACCTAGTGGACACAAACCCATTTCATAAGTATCTAATTTAGGTACCTGCAACAAGCCACAATGGTGTGATATAGTCTTTCTTGAACTATCCAAAAATTTGCCACTTATTTTGCAAAAACACTAAGTCCTTAACAGTGCCTATGGGCAGGAAGGCATCCATGGAATAATGTGGTTATTAAGCTCTGGGATCAAACTCCCAGAGTTCAAAACCCAGTAGTGTCTTTTCTCTTAGGCAATTTACTTGACCTCTCTGAGTCTCACTTGTAAACCTGTGCTAGTAAATAATCCTATGTGTATGTGTGTGTGCATGTGTGTGTGTGAATAGTCATTCACTCTTCACAGGATAGTACTTGTCATGTGTAATCACTATTATTATTTAATAACAATATAACCAATACTATAGCTATTATTTCATATTAAGGTAGTATAACTTCCTTTTATTGTGCACCTGTCATGCTAAGCAATGGTCTATATTTAATTCTCATAGCAATCTTAGTATATCTGTCATATATTTGTATACCCATTTTACAAGTGAAAATTGAGCCTCAGAAATTACATTACTTGATAAAAACAAAGAACACATTTGAGCCAGGTCCAAGAAACGTCACAACCTACTACAATATATGCCCTCCTATCAACAAAAGAAGCCCCTCCCACGCTAACTGGCATTCTCACAGCAAAGCATGCTTAATGCTTGCCAACTACCTGACATCCTTCTAGGTGGTTCAACTGAAGTTTATAGAGTTGTGTGCTGACACTTTGAAATTATTTGGTTAAGAGGCATCAAAAACAATCTGATGGGTGGCAAGCCATCACAGAAAGAACACTGAACAGATGAAACAAAATTTGATCTTACCCACTTCGCAACTGGGAAATTCATGGTTATAGCATACGAAAGGATGTCTATTAGTCTATGTAGAATAAGGTTGTGCAGTTTTGAAATTTTTAATGAAAACACATCTATGAACCACAGCACAACTATATGAATGACTGCAGGCATATTCCCAAAAGTTAGTGATGTGAATGTTATGAGAGTCAGAAATATCCCTCAGAAAAACCAAATTTATCTTTCTACACGTGCACCAAGTGAACTCAAACTGCCTATATCAAGGATCCCAACAATAATGACTGATGTATGGAGGGAAATGTAGAAAGTCCTTTCATGCATTTTAGTCCATTAGAGCCTTTGACCAACAACTCAGGTCAGCAGTGAGGAAACCACTCATTGTGCAGATGAAGAAATTAAAGGCCAGAGGCAGTGAATGATTTTCCTAGGGCACAGAGTTAGTGAACCAGTAAAGCATGATTCTAACTTAAGTCATTCTCCACCCTAGACTGCCAGGCATGCTTTCAAAAACGTCTTTTGAAATGATCCAGGCACTTAAGCGTAACATGAGTTCTGCCCTCACCGTGAAAGACACACATATCAAAATAAATAATTTGTAATTCAAAATGTCATAGATGGGATGAAAGAATAGTTCGGTGTACTTGCCTAGCATGCACAGGGCCCTATGTACTTCAAGAACAAAGTGTCATAGATTGTGAGTCCTTGGCAATTCAGAGTGTGATGGACCACATTCTTCTGAAGGTGAGGGAGATGGTGGGTATCCGTCACTCTGAGCCACATCTCTCATCCGGGAAGTTCCATTCCCAGAACTTTGAGAATAGAAGGCAAAACATAGGTAAAGAACAAAAACAACATGAAACATTTCAGGAATTACATCCTTGGGTTTCTCAAAAACCCAAAGGAGAAAGAATCCATGAAATAAGAGAACAGAAGTAAGCTGCAAATTAATATGTAGGCAACAGTACTGGAAATTTACTTCACTCTGGTATGATGGTATTATCTTTGCAGTGGTTGGTGATAGAGAGGAAGCTAGCTAAAGAATACTCAGCAAACAAGCAGAAATGGAAAGTGGAACCTCTTGTTCCACTATAGCTCTCAGATAGCTGGCATATTCTGCAGGACTAACACTCTTAATGAAATCTCATTTAAGCTGAAAGGTGATTGACAATGTATCTAGGAAGCACCAGACAACACGACAATTTAAATAGCCAAACAACATGCTTTCAAAAACATATCCATCAATTAGCCAAGCTGCT